GCCACCGGGAGCCTCGCAGGCCCTACCTGCAGCAGCTCCAGGGCAGGGGCACTCCTCCACCAGGCCAGCGGTGCGGAGGTGGTCTGAGCGTGGTAAGAGGGGGGCAGCGCCTTTGGCACATCCATCCTCTGAGGTTCTCATTTCCTTCCAGATCCTGGGACCAGGAGCCAGCACAGCAGCGAGTCCCTGTTCAACTGCTGCTGTTGGAAGCGGAGACTTCCCCGTGGCTGCAGCGGGGCAAGGCGTCAGGATGAGGCCACTTTGCTGTGTGAGTCATTCCGGGCTGGGGCAGGTAGTTTCCTGCCCTCGCTGCAGCATTATAACCCCCCTCAGTTCTTGTGCTCCTTCAGCCTGGGAGGAAAGGGTGGCTGGGCACACAGGGACCTGCTGCTCCGGCTGCCACAGTCCCAGGGCAGCAGCTCTACCCTCGCTCAGGTCTCAGGTGTGCCAGATGCCTGCTGTGGCACTGCGTAACATCCACCTGAATCACTTGTGTTACACAAGGGCTGTTCAACAAGGAAACACTGTCGGCTTTTCTTTGCTGTTAAGTACCAACACTGGTTTCTGTGAGGTTTCTGAGACAGCCCTGAAGGGCCAGACAAATCACAGCTGGGTGGTGAAAACACATCAGAGCAGATACACAACCTGCACTGCTAATAGGAGGAGCTGGCTGTTGGCACATCCTCTAGTGCCCCATGGAAGCCTGTCAGACACCCACCTGCAGCATGCAGAGCTGCAGCAAATACCCCCATTTCCCAGCCTACAGCAAAGCTGCACCAGTTCTACTATGGCCTTTCTCAACAGAGGTTGCCAGCATGCTCTTGCAAATAAGGCAAGCAAGGTTGTGCCAGGAGGAGCATGGCCAGCCCAGTGAGAACTGTCAATATCCCCTCTGCATGGTACTGGTGATGCTGCACCTAAAACAGCATGTGCAACCCAAAAGGGAGGTGCAGAACTGGAGCAGCACTGGCAGAGAGTTGCCACCACAGGTTGAGGGTCCAAAGCTTCCCAGGTCGCCTCCAGGGAAACAGAGGAACATCCAGCAGGGGGCCAGGTACTTCACTGCTGCTGCTGCAGCCTGGCTGGCAGATGGGAAGCTCTGCAGGGCTTGGCTGTGTAGATAAGACAGGACAAACACTGCATCTTCAGACACAGAAGCATATCAGAGGCAGGACAGAAGAAAAGGAAACAGGAACAGCTAAACTGGGAATGAAACAGCATTCTACACATCTTGCTGCCCCAACCAAGTCGCACCCGGTGGAAGAAATGACACCAATACAACAGGTCCCACAGGAGCTGCGGGGCTCTGGCCACAGACTCACTGCTTGAGAGCCTGGAGCTGGCCCCCCCACGGCCCAAATGCTCATAAACACACACAGCACTGAGCAGCAGAACCTGAAGGGTAACGTGGGTCTTATAAACACTGCAAGTTCTCACAGGACTCATCCTGAGGTGCTGGAAGGTGAGCTCTATCAGTCAGCTCCAGCTATCTTAACTGGCAGGTTACGTATGGCAGGACAAATAGAATCCCAGACTGGTTTGTGTTGGAAGGGAGCTTAAAGCTCCTCCAGTTCCAGCCCCCTGCCGCGGGGAGGGACACCTTCCACTAGAGCAGGTTGCTCCAAGCCCCTGTGTCCAACCTGGCCTTGAACACTGCCAGGGATGGGGCAGCCACAGCTTCTCTGGGCACCCTGTGCCAGCGCCTCAGCACCAAAGGTAAAGAAATTGCATTCCTTTGCTTACACAGACAATGGGAACTGTATTCTACTGTTCCAAGAACTGGTTAATGTATAAAACATCAAAATACCTTCATTTTACTAGAGAAGGATGTTTCACTTTACATCTGGTCACACGGACCAGTACATGAGAAGAAAAAAAGAAACAAAGGTGAGTGGAGAGCACCAGCCACCTTTCAGCAGATCACCTTAGTCCTGTGCCCTGTCAGACAGCAGAACCCTCATGGGAGCTGGTTTTCCTGGAGCAATCTGTGTGATAACACAACTTGATCACGTTACTCCTCCCCAGCAGGCAGAAATAAAAGGCAATTAATCAAAACTTAAGAGCTGAGACACAGCAGAACCGATCTTTCCAAAGAGAGACCTTGCCAATGCCCAAGACACAAAGAGCAGCACAAAGGATTGTGCTCCTTTGAAGGTGAGGGCACACAGACAGCAAATCCAAGTGAAAGGAGCTGGCTAACGGCAGTGAGAAGGAAGGAGAGCAGTATCTTCATGGAACCACCTCCCCACAGGACCCAAATATGGGGATGGCCATCAGGGCAGATGGAAAGAGCTTGCAGGAAGGTCTCCAGAGGAGTCTGCCAGGCACATGTGAATCCACAGTACACTCCACTTTGAACACCTTTAAACAGTTGAGAATCCCTTAAAGACTTCCCATACACACAAAGCAGGATTTTACAAATCAAACCCCATGAGTTTGAGCTCATCCCATGGCTCTGAGGAGAGATGCTCAAGTCCTTCCAACTTATCTCCACTCTCCAAAGGCACAGCAAGAAGCTCAGCTTTCAGCACTGACTCTGACCCACCAGCATCCATCCAGGCAGCACCCAGGGAAGGGAGATCCTCTCCCCATCCTCCTGGTGCCACTCGGGCTGTCACAGTCACAATTCCAGCCAGAACAGACGATGGGATGAGAGCAGGTCCTTACCAGAGCAAGTGTTCCTGCTGCAGAGCAGCCGCAAACACGGCAGTGGCCAGCCCTCCATTCACACCCTTCAGTTGTAGTTTTGAATCATTCCAAGAAAAAAATACAACCCTGGTAACTTGGGTAAAAATTTATTTTACATACAGACCATTGCAACTGAACTATGAATCAAGAGAAGTTATTTTTCCTTTACAGGAAGGGACCAGCTGGCCTGAGATTAACAGAAGACTAAGCCTGAGAGCTGGGATTTTAGGTTGGAAATCAGATCTGGTGGGGGGGAGGCGTCTTTCCAAGCACCACCCAGTTCAGTGAGGAGCTGCAGGACTGGAACTGCAGGTTAGATGCACTGCATAATGCTGGAAGCAGATTCCCAGAGTCAGTTCAGACCTTTCCGAAGCTGAACTTGCTGGGAAAGATGATGCCTGGAAAGGCAGGGATGCATTTCCAGTGCTTTGTTCAGCTCTCAAACTAGAAACAGAAGTGGTGAAACACACAATCTGTGTGAAGTACAAAACATCGAGTTAGAGGGCAGCAGACAAACAGGACAGCAATAATGGTGGGGACCTCCTAAGCCAAGTGTTCTACATGTAGCGGGGTCCTGGCCGAGTTCCTACTATGGCCCTAGTTCAAATGGACAGAGTACAAAAAATACTTCGACCAATAATTATACTGAAACCAAACAGTCAACTGAAAAGCAATTCTTACTCTAGGTGCCAATGAGTCCTTAAAAGCAGGGAGGGGACTGAAGAGCTGCGCCTGGGCAGTGCCAGGATCATTCCCGCTGCTCCATTTTTACTTTGGGAGGTCTCAGGAAGGTCCTGTTTTTCTTTTCTTTCTTCCCCTTTGTATTTGCCTGGAAATTCCTCCAGCTGTCCACACGCCCATCCCGACTTTCCTGGGAACAACAGGGAGGAAGCAGAGAGTTAAGAAGTGCAAGAGCCAGAGAATGTCTGGTATGTACAAGTACACACCAGTTACATGAGATCAATAATAGCAATGTCCCCCTTATCCAGCATGTAGCACCCTGGCCGACGGGACACACAGACACTGTGAAGACACAGCAGGTGGAAGGAATGGGCTGGCAGGAGCCATGTGCAGTTCAACAGGGAGCAGTGCAAAGTCCTGCCCTGTTTACCAGACCTGCTTCTGGAATGGTGACACCAAAGCCCTATGGTGTGAGGAGAAGAGCCCACAAGGACAAAACCCACGTTTGTGCAGGATCTTCTAGTAAGTGTCTACTTAAGTTATCTTACAGCACCTGCAGACAAAAGGTCTCTCTTCTCTCTAGCAGCATGGCCAAGAATCACTGAGGCCCATCCCGTAAGTCAAGCTGCTGATTACCTCAAAGTTCTTCTGCCATTCTCGCTCTCGTTTAGCTTTCTCTTGTGCCTCTATTTCCTCTTCCCTCTGCCGCTTCCTGGAAGGGAAACCACAAAGAAGTTACGAACCCACAAGCATCTGCTTTGAAGAAACACAGTATTACTACCAAAACATCTTGGACAGCTCTTCTGATTTCTTGGCAGATTAAAGTGCTTATCAGATCAGAAGAGATAAATACACACCCCTAACACAGCACAGCAAGTAGCATTCTATTTCAAATCTGCAAGAACAGTGAGGAGAGAAGGTGGCTTGGCACCACTGACAGCACACACATACTCAACTAGTGAGTCAGCTCCTCTTGCTCAGCAAAACAAGTTGGACTCCTTCATAACTACCTCCCAGACTTAATTAAAATTGAAAATCAATTCTTTGCAAATCTATCAATGTCTTAAATACAGGAGGGCAAGTTTCCTGCTTGCATTTCTCAGCACAAGGCTCTACAATCCACAAGTTGCTTAGAGAAGTGGTGGAATGTGCATCACTGGAAGTCAGCTTGACAGAACCCTTGTTAACCAGTGCAAGGCCCTGCTTTCAGCAGGAAGGAGACTGGAGCAGAAGATTCCAGAGATTCCTTCCAACTTGAGACTTTTCCAAGACTACTTCTCTGAGGAAGCATGAGGGGGGAACAGCCTGAACTGCACAAGCAGAATGCTGCTCATACCTTTCATGCATTTCTTTCGCCTCTCTTTCTTTCCTCTTAATTTCCAGTTCAGCAAAGAGCTTCATTGTCTGCTTGTATACAGCTTGTTTGAACTGCAAAACACAAACCCAGTGTTAAAATAATGCCCATTAAGACAGTTAGAGAAGACTGCTTTACGTAAGAATGTAAGAAGCATAAAAAGGTGAACTATATGTCCATATAAACCCATATTTTGCCTTGGCAGTAGGCAGTAGCAGTGAAATATGAAAAGGTATAAAATACTGATTAAATTTAGGCCCTGACACCAGGAAACAACTACCTACTTGTCTTATTTTCACTTGTATTCACAAAGCTGTCACTAAACTGAACTGTTTGTGTCAAACTCTCTTAGTCTTCTGGTAAGTCTTGAAAGGTTAGACAAAACAAAAGCAAAATGGTCACTGTTCGGTAACTTCCCATCTTGATGGGGTGTGAAAGTCACTGGCTTTCCAGTAGGAAACATCAGAATACTTAAAATAAACTTCATTATTAAAGAACAGCAAGAGATTTCTAAAAATCAGTGGAAAATAAGATGGTGATGGGATTACTGTGGTGATACCAGCAGGGAAAAGAGAAAGATGGCAATGGCAAGACCAATGCTGTCAGTGTTTGATAATCATCTGTCATTCTGTTCAAGCCTGCAGGATCACTCTTCAGACTAGAATCCAGGTAAGAACAACTAGGATATGTCATGCCTTTTTTATGAAAAGTGATTTGTTGCATAACAGCACATCTACCCTCAAGTGCTATAGGGAAGCAACAGCCAGAACAGCTCTTACTGCAAAACATCACTAAGAGCACATCCTGCAGTGGGTTCTATACGTGCTGTTCCTGGCAGCAGGAACACCACAATGCCAGCATTCACAATACAAGAAATTCAACACAAAAAGACAACATGACACACAAGCCATGAAGACTTGCTCCAAAGAATATGGTATTTGGATCTACATAATCTCAGGATTTATTTACTCTTTACACTACAGTTAAACTATTTTCTAACACATACAGGTATTACCCAACACATGGTACTATTGAAACACGTTTTGTACTCCCCAGTTTCTCTGACTTACAACTTCAGGATCATCCTCTTCTACAGTGGCTGGTTTTCCATCCTTCTTCAACTGCTTCTTTTTTTCTTTCACCTGAAGATTAAGAACAAAAGTAAGAGCCTAAAAGGTTTCATAGGGCTGAAAGAATTGTGTCCAAGTAGTTCTGCATCCCTGCTCCACTGTGTGGGAAGCTCTCTGGATGACAGTAATTTCTTGATGTGGATCAAGGTTTTATTTTAGACCAAAACCTCCTGGTCCTTGATCCAGATAAACACATGTGAGATCACTACCACATGAACCGTAGTCATTAAAGATACTATGTTAGACACTATTTATGCCACCCAAACGCTTTGATGGCTTTTGTTGTTCTTTTTAAGACATATTCATATCCAGTACACAGCATCCAAACCAGGAGAAAGTCTCTTTTGCTTTGTAATATTCAAAAGACTAACAACAACAAGCAGAGAATAAAGTTTTCCTTGGTTTATAGTATCTGACTTCTCCCATATCATCTGCTTTCTAAAGCTTGTTGTGTTTTAGTCCACCCATGTCACTCAACTAACTTCTTGGCTAACGCAGTCCAAGCTCCTTTTCTTATCTTATAGGTTGTTTCCCCCCAGTTTCCCAGTCTCTTGCTGTCACCACTTATTTTCTTCCACCTACACACATCTGAACTGCATCATCCATTCACACACTTGAAAAAAACCCCCATATGTAGGTCAGATCCTGTGGTCTGACCTAATTATTTCAAGTACTGAATTTCACTGAATTATCTTGCACTGAGCTCAACAGCAGTCTTGGACAAAGCACGTTTTATTCATGCCAGGAAGAGCTCAGAGGCCACCTGCACAGCTTTGCTCAGCTCATCTTTTAATGACCTAATGTACCAAAAAGCAAACGAGAAACGACTGATTACCACTCACCCCCACTCCTGGATGTTCCTATGGAATACTTACAGTGTGTTCCACATATTCTTTTCCTGCCTGGATCACGTCCAAGGCTCTTTTCTTCTGCTCCTGATCCAGCAGCAACTTGTAGGCTTTATCTACAGCTAACAAAAAGCATCCACATGAATAGCACCAGCAGCCCCATTCACAAAGCACCACAAGATTGCTACTTCTTGACTATACAACTTTTGCTTCCTAGAATTTGGAGGGCCTTGTTTGGTCAGGTTTTGGGGGGTTTTGTGTGTATGTGTTAACTACATCTAGGTATGTGATATCACAATTAATCAAATGAGTTTTGGGGTACAGTAGTGACAGAAACTGTCACTACAAACCTTTGGAGTTAACAGGGTGAAAGTATCAGCCCTACCAAGTGATTTAGTCGTAGGGCATTATGTAAGTTTAAGGTGCATAACGCAAAGTGTACACCTAAACCCATCGCATTACTTCTGCCATATGGCCTTGGACTAAAATCTAATGCCCAGATAAACAGTTTCTCTTGCACAATCTCCAAGACCCAGGGACGTGGTTGTCCCCGGTGCAAGCTGACAATGGCATTACCGCCACCTAGTGACACTTTGTGCTGAAATGCCACCCCCCATGCCTGCTCCTCCCTCCTCTAAAGAGCCTCTACAGCAGGTCTGTCCCTCCGTAGAGCCTTCACCCCTAATAAACATTTAAACCAGCTACAGAGAAAGAGCCGTGCAACCACTGCCCTAGAGCAGCCCAGGGAAAGGGTGAGAGCATTATTACCTTCAAACGCCTTCTGGGCTCTATCTGCATCATCTTGGTTTTTGTCAGGATGCACCAATATTGACAACTGCAAGAGAAAGGATCTTGCTATCGAGGTCATTGTAAAAGATGGAGAATGTTTCAGACTTTTGTAGGATGAGGGAATAGTCTGAGATAGAAGGAGTCACAGGGGATCACGTTCCTTTGTACACAGACAAATCAGCTGGCAACATGTACCAGTATGCATCAGTAAAAGCTTATCAAACCAAATACAATCCGTGTAATAAACAGGCTGAAATGTGCAGAACAACATGAACATCCTTCAGCTGCAGTGCCTGGGGCTGATAGGAACCCCTTGGTCACCCAAATTTGGTACCGTTGGTCTTAAGAAGAAACAAACCTACACAGATCCTCCTCAACCCAAGTTAACCTTTTAATCAGCATCCTAAGAAGGTCTCCAGTATCCCCAAGGTACCACATCCTCTACCTTCTTCTTCTTCCACAGAAAGAGGAAGTTCTTACAAACTTTCCCAATATGGCTTTTGTTTTCCAGACCCCTTAGTTTTGCTGGTGCTGTGTGTCCTCTCTAGTTTGTCTGCATCTATCCTAGTTCAAAACCACTCACAGTGTGGCAACTGACATTGCATCAGTGCTGAAGAACGCAAAATAATGACTTCCTGAGATGGCACTTTCTAGTTCACAGGAAAAAAGTTTGCTTCTGGCACTAAACAGCTGCTAACTTACTCCATGATTTGCTATGCCAATGTCATTTTCCTCCATATTCAGGTGGTTTTGCTCATCCATACACAATTCCATTCCGTTCTCCCTGTTTCTACCTGTTCCAGGTAACTCAGCCACCAAAAATGACCACTGAAATTCTTAAAGAAACCTCAAAGCAAATACACTTCTGGATCCAAGTCCATATGTTTGAGAAAAATATCTTTCCTCAGCTCTTCTGAGAGATTTTGACCTTCTCTTGGAGCTGCAGTTCAATAATCTGGTTATACACGTGCAGATCAGTTTGCAATAGCCCCATCACACACTTCACAGGCAAAGCAGCATAAACCAGGGACACTTCTGCAGCTCTCCTGGTTTTGTTCTGTGCATTTCTTCCTACAACAGCTACTCCTCTACCCAGATACAGCTCTACCACCACCTTTCTTGTTCCCAGGCACAGCTGCACAATCTCTACAGAGCTTCTAGTTTCCTTCCAGAGGCTCCAAGTGCAAAAGCCAAATACCTGCCGGAATCTTTTCTTTATCTCTTCATCTGTGGCTTCAGGATCCATCTGCAGTACCTAAAAGAGACCATAAGAGCACAAGAGTTTGATGATACTCCCTGTGTTTCATGTTCTTGAGAGCAAGCTCTAAACACTTCACTCCTGGCATACAGAAAAGCCCCCATCAGGGAGCTGCTTCAGGACATGAATTTTCATCTAGTAAACCAGAAAGATTTGAAATCAGAGACACCACATCTGGGACACTACTTCTAGCAATGCCAGGCTCCTCTGACTATGCCAGTGTCCTTGCCACGCTCAAGTCTCATGTAGACAGCTGCGACCCCTAAACAGCCACAACTGGTCTAAACCTCCAACCAGTCCTGTAGCAATGTTTAGTTTGGCAGAAACTGAAGCACACGGTGGCTTTGGGATCCTGTCAGATCATTTACAACTGAAACTTCGGGCAGGAAACACACAACTTGGTAAGAACTTCTTAATTTTATCATTTTGAAAGAAGACAGGAGAGTTTTACTGTTTGGTCTCCATGAATGAGCTCATTTGTCTTTAAATCTTTAAGGATGTGGCAGAGTTTTGGAGCTCTTTTGTGAATTAATTTGCTGCACAGAAGTCCTGTGCAACAAGTGAACCTATTCTATGCAGACACATGCTGCTATGACATAAAGAATCTCATAGGAAAGCTACAGTCTACTTCTAAATGGCTTTCCTGATTTACCCCCCAGGTCAAGTACTAAGATCTACAAAGAACTCGACATGGTCAAGGTGAATCTGCTGACTGATGTGACTGGGACTACAAGAAGCACCTGAGGTTTTAAAAAGGCAGATGAGGATGATCTCAAGGAGGAATTCATACAAGGAAAGCCAGCTCCAGATGAACACCAGCTTGTTTTATTTACTCTCTTCCCCAGGGTTTCATACTCATGAAGACTTCGTCAGTGATTGCAACTGGAATCAAAGTGTGTCATGTGCAAGGGAATTACCCGTTTTCCAGTGACTCCTCAAAGATTGCTCATTAGTGTGAGCAGCCAGATTCCTCCTCTTATCCTGTGAGCATCCAAAACAAAAGCCAGAACTGGAACTGCTGAGTCAAGAGTGCTCAGAATGTGCCACCTGTAGCTGCTATGTTCTCATTCAGACTCCCTAGCACTGATCTGCCAAACCTTCCTGTGCTGTTGCACGAGGGAAATGTGTTAAAAGAGCATAGTTTGCACCCGATATAAACCAGTGAAAAACATACACACCATCCTCCTGCCTTCTGTAAACCTTCTGCTCTGTAATGCACACTGAGAGAACCTCTTTCTGTCTCTCTTCAGCCTTTTTACTGCAATAAGTACCCAGGAAACAGGGAGCACCAAGGTAGAAGGGAGGATGAAACATTCAAACCAACCTCAAAAGGGTTCAGGTTGAAATAGGAAGATCCAGGTCGGGTGAGCCTGTCGATTTGGTTTTTGGATGTTAAAACTGAGTCTCGTTTTTCAATTTGCTTTACCTGAAGAACAAGAGAGACTGACATTAACTGACCATCACAACGTGCTTACCTGTTTCCCATGTGATTACTACATCAGTCATCACTGACGTGTACTACAACTCACAACACCTTTGCTCACCTGAAGCATGTGTTTCACTTGCACACCAGCAGAGCACACTTTTAAGCCATTTTTACAGCACGACAGTACTTTTAGCATTACATTTTAACTGTAAAAAAGCACTTCTGCCTGTTTCTCCTACAGCTGCAGCTTTTCCCCTCGCTTTGCTCCTACACCAGCACTATCACACTGATTCCTTGGAAACCTACTGCACTGCTCCTTTCAACCCACTGCGGTGGGATATATCCCACAGAACACCTTAAGTGATACCGGTGCACGTAGACAAGTCCACTTCATCCTGACCCCACGTTACTCAGTTCTGTTCAGTTTACAGCATTAAGCCGAACCAAACCATGCATTTAACATTCACCTTTATCCAAAGAAACACGCACCCACCAACCGACACCGCGTTCCTGCGGGCGCGCTCGGGCACACACCTCCCAGCGGTGCCCGAACGAGCCCAGGCTGAGGGAAGGGCCGCTCGTGCCCATAAACAGGCCGAGCAGCGGCGCACGGGGGC